TTACGTTGCCATGCCTGGTGGGAGACGCACCGGAGAAATTTGAAAATCTTGCTCACAGGTACCACATAGAGAAGAAACCGAAAGAAATTGATACGAAAACAAATATGAAGTAAAAACGAAAACATGCAGCACAAAGATGAGAGAATGACAATCGAGTTCCAAGTTTTTTTGCGATCATTTTGTTTAACAACGACAAATGAGTGGATGACGACGATGCGACTCGACATGGACTAAAACATTTGTTGTTTGAAATGAGCGGTACGGTTATATGGATGTGTCTTCAAAACTAAAAACAAAATATGTACAAAGTCTCTACATTCAAATTATAAAAATAGTACAATATGGTACTATATTTTAAGTTGTGGAACACAACGTTTAACCAAATTATGTATCGCATTTACTGTCCGATTGAGACAAAACTTTGCACAATTCGCTTGTTTTGCCAAGAACGAACCCTATTGAAATGAGTAATAATCTGTTCAGATCCAGAGACAGCATCCATAAATCTTCGTCTGTTCTAAGGTTTATTGTGCACCAAATACATAATATTTTACTAAGTATAATCGTTTTAGCAACTCTTTAGCTCTTTTGAGTCTATTTTCTTTCTGTTGCGGTGTAAGTTCTTGCACTTTTTGGAATTTCAATAGGTTTACCCCGAGCTCATTTTTCAATATTTGCCGAATGGAGCCATCACGAGCCATTTTTCGGCCACTGCAAGGCGGGTTTCGATCAAGTCGCTTCTTTACTTTTCGAACCATTTCTGCTGATGTTGCTGTTTTCTTCCGTACACTTCCTTCACGTCGGTCTACGCTACCAGTATCACGGTAACGAGCAATGGTAAGAGATACAAAAGATGGAGAAGGAAGAGGGACAGACCCATAGTTACTTTTGAGGATTTTCATAGAATCACTATTCTGAGTCGATTTATCCATGTATTTTTGTGAACAAACTGCAGGTCGCACTTATTATCATATTGAGAAGAAATTTTCCAAACAATATTTGTTTGGCCCAAAGATTAGATATATATAGCTCTCATTTACATCTTCAAGAGCATTCGGGTTAATTGTGTACCAAATCAGTCCAAATAACCTGAATTTTGGCACATCCGTCTGAATTCAGTCTAGAAGCAGGTACATCAAGTTTTGTAAAAATTGGTTCAGATATAGCTGAAGCTTCCATCTATATGTTTCATCCAATTTGTGTTTAAGTCCCTCACTTGCGTAATATACACTCCACAAAAATTATATTTGGTGCCAGATATCAGATACAGCCCAGAAATACCTCTGTCAAATTCTATCGAGATCGAATCAGTTTTGAATATAGCTCTCATATATATCCTTATCTGATATCCGGTTTATTGTGCACCAAATGTCCAATGTCAGTCCAAATGGCCTGATTTTTGGCACATCCGACCGAATTCAGTCTAATAACAAGTATTTAAATTTATAGCTCCCATATATATCTTTATCCGATTTGGTGTTAAAGTCCCTAACATGTGTAAAATGCACTCTACAACAATGATATTTGATACCGAACATCAGATACAGCTCGAAAATACCTGTGCCAAATGAAATCGAGATGGGTTCAGATTTTTATATACCTTCAATATACATCTTCACCCGATTTTACGGTTATTGTTCACCATATATCAGTCCAAATTAGATAGATTTTTTCATATTCAACCAAATTTTTCCATTTGGTTAAACTCGGTCCGGCATATCTGTTGCTCGAAGTAATATCATGCACTATACAACAACGTTATTTGGATCATAGTTGGTATGATCTACTTCACATAAATTCCCAATAAAAACTTTTTTGTTACGGAAGCCCTACTAAATACGCATAGCGGTGTAGGGTAACCCGTCAAAACTTTCCTTATTTTACCTTACCTTTCCTTACATTTGAATTGTTATTTGATTCGTTAACGTTCGTTTGAAATTCGAGTTGTTCGATTAAATTCGAACTATTTTTTTGTATTTCAAAAAAGCAAACGCGAATTTCAAATTTAATAACTTGAATTTAACGAATTACAAATTGTCAGTACCCATATACAGAGTGAGATGAAAAAACTGCAACCAACATCAGACTGCTGTCATTTCTAAGCCACTCGTCCGGCAGCTGTTAAAATTATTCAAGCAATTCATATAGTCGGTCCGTCCGACTTTTGACCTTTCCTTACTGGTTTGTTATTGAATAACATAAATAATACTCTGCATCCACTCAGAAGTCATCGGTACAACCACACGGAAGAAAATTAAAAACTATAAAGAAATCTGAACTAGAATTTCCTTGTAAAAAGTTGAAAATAGTTATGGATAATGTTCCTAGTTTATATACAAGGTTTAGACAGTTAATAAACGTTCGTGCTAAACTACATAAGCTAGCTAAAGCTATTCATTAAAAATAATGCCTGGTACACCCCTTATCACAATTTACCTTCCAAAATATTGATATGCGATAATGTTATTGAACACATTACACTAATCGTAAAAATGTGCGATAACCGAAAAAACATTCATTTTGGACTATCAATAACATTTACCTGCTCAAAAACGTGATTAAAAAGTCCATATTCACAATAGATGTGGACGTTAATTCAATAGTTTGTACTGTTTTGTACAAATTATTACAAAATGTTGTTCGATAACCGAAAAGTCCAGCATACACTTTTCGAAGAGCAAGTTGCTTGTCACCTATAGTACGTTTATACATCGGAAGATTAAATCAGTGGGTTAAATAGATCTTGTAAGTTAACTTTGCATGTTTAGATACATCCTATATACAGGGTGAGATGAAAAAACTGCAACCAACTTAAGACTGCTGTCATTTCCAAGCCACTCATCCGACAGCTGTTAAAATTATCCCAATGACAGCTCATTACATTGTTTATAAGCATACAAAAGCATTTTGGTGAGAATTTTAAAGAAAAAAAGTTACTGGTGATGGAATTCAAGCGTGATAGTGTGATTTCTTTATATTTGGCTGGAAAACCACAAGTGGCTATCGTTTTTGAGACTCGTTACCGTGATACTGGTAACGTAGCCCGACGTCAAGGAAGTGAACGGGAGAAAACGGCAACATCAGCAGAAATGGTTCGAAAAGTAAAGAAGTGACTTGATCGAAACCCGCGTCGCAGTGAGCAAAAAATGCCGAAAAATGGTCGTGTTTAGTTCCCAAAGAGGTCAGCTGAAAATGTGCACCTTCCGTTGGCCATCAGAACTCAAGCGCCGGTCATGGTGATGGTGTGGGCCGCGATAACAGCCGATGGTCGCTCTCCGCTCGTATTGATCGGCCGTGGCATCAGAATAAATGTCAAATATTATTGCGAAAATATACTGGAGGGTGTATTAAAGCCTTGGGCTCGCAAACATTTTGGCCGCAGACATTGGACATTACAACAGGACTCAGCACCATCTCACTGAGCACGCACCATCCAAGAATGGTTACGAAATGAGATTCCTCGCTTCATTTCCAGCGCACAATGGCCGCCAAAATGTGCGGATACCAATCCGTTGTACTATTGTGTCTGGAGTATTTTGGAAAGCAAGGTTGGCACTAAACAAGTAAAAAAAACATTAAGTTCGGCCGGGCCAAACTTTTAATACCCTCCACCCTAGGGTAAACTAAACATTAGAAGATATGTTGCGAAAACCATTAAAATGCCGAATATCGGCAGGTACCGTTATATTGGGGCTATACCAAATCGTGGACCTACACATGCAATATTTCGCCAAAGGAGCTAGAACCCATTATGACCTACAAATACCAATTTTCAGACAAATCCGTGAAAAAGTGTGGCAAAAATCATCAAATTACCGAATATCGGGAGGTACCGTTATATGGGGGCTATACCAAAACATCGACCTATAATTACAATGACTCGCCACACGAACTAGGACCCATTATGATCTACAACTACCAATTATCAGAGAAATTCTTGAAAAAATGTGTCAAAAGTCATCAAATACCGAATGTTGGGAGGTACCGTTATATGGGACTATTATGGAACCCATTATGACCAACGAATACCAATTTATAGACAAAACCGTGAAAAAATGTGGCAAAAAAAATTAAAATACCGAATATCGGGATGTACCTTTATATGGGGGCTATACCAAAACGTGAACCCATACATGCAATGTTTTGCCACATGCATAGGACCCGTTATGACGTGGACCGATATATCTCATTATCAATACCAACCATCCTAGACACAATACAAATTTATCTGCTAAATTTTGGCGCTCTACGTCAAATAATGTGGGCTGTATCGTGATTTCAACAGACAGACAGATGGACATCGTTAAATTGACTTAGAATTTTATGCTGATTATGAATATATATACTTTATGGGGTCTACGACGAATATTTAAGGATGTTACAAACGGAATGACAAAGTTAATATAACCTCCTTTTCAAGGTGGAGGGTATAAAAATACTAAAGCAAGCGCTACGCCGGGAATGTGACAAACTACCGCAGAGCGACATACGGGCAGCGTGTTTCATTGGCCGTTTGTACAAATCTACACTTATTCTAAAATTTAATGCTATTTCTGACATTTTTTGCTTTCATTCAACAAAATTTGAAAAAAAAAAAAATAGAAATTATGGCGTTTGGCTTAGTTGCAGTTTTTTTATCTCACCCTGAATAAGTGGGCCATGTAGTCCCACGTTTTGGTATAGCCCCATATAACGGTGCCTCCCGATATTCGGTATTTTGATCATTTATTTACCGAAAGAGGTTTTTAAGATTTTAACGATTTTTTTTTTTTTTTTGAATATTGCCAAAATCATTCCAAATGGTGGAGGGTATACAAAGATCGGTCCGGTCAAACTTACAGCTTTTTTACTTTGTGCAAAAATATACTACAAAGGTGGCGTTAAATAAATAATATAGGTAGGATCTAGAATCGATATTTTAAGATGTTTCAAACACAATAACAACATAAATATACTCTCAAAATTCCTATTTGCAACGAGTTTGGAGTTGCCCCTTTATTCTCCGATATGTTTACCATATGGATGTACATGTATTTAATCTACTGACTTTCACACTTATGTGCGTAGGCATGTCCATACATGTGGCAACACTTTGCAGTTTGAACTTTGAAATGGAAATTTCACGGCGACTGTAACCGATTCACTGTGCAGCATTAGTACTGGCAACAATGGTTAACTTGTTGCCATATTAGTCGGGTTGGAGTGCCGATTGATCGATCCGTCAGTCAGTCGGTCAGACAGTCGTTCGGCCGGTGGGCCGCACGTCGCACCGTTAAGCAACCAGAGAAACAGCAACAAAATGCTGAAACTTAACCAAAAATACACAATGCGAGTAATCGGGGGCTACCACAACACGATGAATACGACGACGACGACGACAACCAAACGACAACAAATGAGTTAGTATGGATCGCCAGGCGCATTGTTATTGTTTTTTTTTTCTGTTTTCATTTTGGAGACGACTGTATGGCAACGACAACAACAAAAAGAACAACAGCAACAACACGCTCCACAATCGACAACGATGATGACAACAGTAACAACAACCACGGAGACGACGACAATGGCAATGACGTTGGAGCATGCCACACATACTAAGGCCAGTCAGCCAACAAACCAGCCAGCCAGCCAGCTAAACAACAACCAACCAGTCAGCCCCAACAACAACGACAAGGAACCGCATCACACCACACCGCACCAGAAGCAGCAAGCTGTCGCAGCACACAGACGGCACAACACAGTAACAACATTAGCAGGCACCACTACCACAAGCAGCGGCAGCAGCAACGTTGGCGGTGTGTTAAATAAAAAAACATATGAAATTAGTACAATTCGTGATTTCAACGGTGAACGACGACGAAACGGTACGTATGTGCGCGCTCGAATGTGTTAAACAACAATCAAGTTGCGGCTGCTGCAAACCCAATAACAAACAACAAAAGCAACCCACCAAGCACCACACATACCCCACCAGCGAGACAGTCAACAACAAGAGAAAAACCCGAAATACAGCATCAGTCGGCCAGTCAGTCAGCATCATCATCATCGGGCAAGCCACTGCTGAAGAAACCCAAAACCAGTTAAGATCAACGTAAATTTTTGGCCAACAGCCACCACCAGACCAGATCCACTACCACCAACAAAACGCCGAGATAAAAATAAGACACAAAAATCATCTGTTTTGTCCACCAGTTGGCTCCAACAAACTAAACAGCCATCCTGCCTGCCCCCAAAAATAATCGATACACCAATCGAAGAGCAAGTGGAGGGTAAAACGTACGCAAAACAGGGAAGTAGGAAGGTTTCAAACACTTGTTGGGAACCCAACCAGCCAGCCAACCTGTTGCTCACATGAACAGGCTCGGCCAACAAAAACAAGCTGTTTTCCATACTACTTCTTAACGCACCCCGTCCCTTCCCTCCCCTTCTTTGGTTACTCTTATCTCTGTACAAGCAACCACCCCACCCCCTCAAATTCAGCCATAAACGATCTCCTCCGCGCACTCAAAATGTACAACAAAGGCAACAGCAATTCTAGTTCTTCCGCAACAACGACTGCTACCTCCACCACAAATGCTAACGCGGCCACCAGCTCCTCCGCAGGCAACAACAACAGCTCTTCGGCAGGCCCAAATGATCGCATTGAATGGTCACGTGCCACCATTTTGGGATTTATCGAAGACTATCGACGGCAAAGAGTACTTTGGGACCCCAACACAAAGGGCTACCACATCAAGCAGACCAAATATGAGGCTCTCAAGGCTTTGGGCCAGAAATACGGTGCTGAAATTCGTTCAATACGCTCCAAAATCAAGAGTCTTCGTTCCTCCTTTCATCGGGAACATGGCAAGGTGATTAACGGCCGCCGAAAGGGGCTAAACTATCAGCCCATGTGGTTTGCCTACGATGCCATACGTTTCATACTGGACGGTGAAACGGGTGACTCCGATGAGGCAGATGGAGTACCCAAAAACGACAATCTGGATAGCACAAGTGAAAGCAACTTGAACAACAACAACAGCCTCACGAATAACAATAACAACAACAGCAGCATAAACAGCCTAATGGGCTGGAGTGGTCATGCGACCGATGAGGAACCACTATTGGAAGAGCGTAAAATTTCTAGTCGTGACATTGAGCATTTCAATAATCATTTCTTGGCACTGGGCTTGCAAGCTCGCCATCCCATGGCAATGTTGGCGGCAGTGGAGGCAGCTGCGGCCGCTTCGGTTCTCTCTGCGGCAGTCCAAGAGAAACGACAAGAGCAAGATTATGCTCTACTCAAGCAACAACAACAACAGCTGCTGCTGCAACAACAACACAAGCACAAGTCTGATAACGACGATGACAATAGCGAAAACGGCCATAGACATGACAGCTCTTCTTCTCCATCGCCGCTAAAAATTATCGAATTATCCACCATCAGCAGTAATAACAACAACAACGACAGCGTCGGCAATGTCAACATTATGTCGTCTTCTACCAACACCACCGCCAACACCTCCTCCTCCAACACCGCTTCTGCAACGCTCAACCCAATTTCGAAACCCTTTGCAAGTCCAAAACCTTCGTCACTATTAGCTGGGGCTCCAACAGCAACAACAACAACGACTAAAAGCACAAGTGCCACGGCCATCACACCACCACCTCAAACCTTGCAGCCACCAGCGCAATCTCAACAACAACAGCTACCCCACCACCAGCCATCCTCAACGTCGACGTCGTCGGTGACGACGACAGCGGCCACTACGTGCTCCCCAGAAAATTATAATGTTTTACACGGATCACGTAGCTTAGATGAAAATTCTGCCATTGCTATTGGCAACAATGCTGCCGCGACTGCAATTTCCAGTCTTCCGATAACGGCTGTGGTAAGTAAAGCACACACAACAAAAACACACTCTCCTCGAACAGTCACAGTAAAAAACGCAACAACAACGGCAATGCGAGAATAGCAGCAACAATAAAGTTGAAAAAAATACAAAATAGTCGTAGTATATTTGGTAGTCACTCGTGTCGTTGTTGTCGTCGTCGTAGCCGTAGTCGCCGTCATTGTCGTTGTTTTGTTTTCCTTTTCATATCTTTTTGTTTTTTCTTGTTTGGGGTCTGCCTTATGACTACATGTGATCGTTACACTCGAAGAAAATCAAAGTTGTTTCACTTAATAATAGGTATGATCACTAATTGATAACAAACCAAAAAGTAATCAAGAATTAATATACAACATTTAAAAAATAAGAACATCATTTATTTGAACTTACCTGTCAATATTCTAATGGGTTTGGATTTAATTGGATCCACCAATTTTATCGAATTCATAAAAGTTCAAACAGTTAGCACAAATAGGCTTATTTAGAAACTTCTTGATGTGAACAGAGTTGTAATGTATATCTTCAATATGAAGAAATTCATAAAAAACCTATTTTTGAAACAGGCAGCGGTTTCGGAGTGGATGCCACAATTTAGAGACTTTAATTTAGTGTTTTTTTATCGCTAATATGAAATTTCTGTTCTCATCATTTCTGTATCAAGTTGTTATTGGAAACAGTAATAAATCACAAAACCGGTCATATATAGAAAATAAATAAAAGTATATGACAATCTCTTCGTAGACTCATTTCACATTAAATGTGGTAATTTTTAATAAAAAACAAGAATTATTACAGAGTTTATGAGATATTACCAACATTCGCATCTAACACATTATGAAATTTCAACCAAATGGATAAGTAATCAAAAGCAAAATCCGACTTTTAGAGTTTACGATTCTATTAAGAGCAAGGTCTACTTTGCAATCGTTGATTTTGCCCAATCAGGTAAAAATCGATTTCATATTTTGATTTAAAAAAAAAAAAAATCGACTAAATTCGATTTCTATTTATTTATTTTTTTTTTCATGTGTAATTCTGCCAATAACGATCGGTTTTTGTATGACAAATGCTAATGAAAAATATGATGAATTAATTTTGAAATCTTAAAAAAAAATTAAAAATATGAAAAACTCATTTGGATCATCATACTGAATCAGGCCCTAAAATTCGAAGAAAGATTGATAATATCCAAAATCGATTGCAAAAAGACGACCACAATTTATAGCACCGACAAAATATAAAGATGGGACAATACATACTGAAAATATAAACACCTGGTGCATATGTCTCTATTGCAATTATACAATAAAAAAGTAAGCAAAGGCTATAGTCGTGCGCGGCAGACCATGTGATATCCTACAACACTACAATATGTTGGAAGTCCCTTTATGTCCAAATCCATTTCGTAGGATTTCAGTTTGAAATGGTGTCATAGAGCACTGCCCAGATGTTACCCCTAGCATTTTGACCAGGAGCATTTACCCAATACTTACGCAGTTCGTCGTGTTTTGTTAGGTATTAAAAAAATTTCACACGAAAGTTTTTTTTTTTTTTCTAGACATCTCCCCTGTCCTTAACTCTCATCTAGTGCAAAATTCCATATCGATTGGTTTTCAATTATGATATGTAGAGACACTGCAAAATCAGAAAAATTGAAAATTCGATAAAAAAAAATGACAAAAAATATTATTTTTTTGGCATACTTTAGCGCGATTTTCTTAAGTATTATCCTATTCTGGCAAGAGGCCATTCCGAATTGGTGAGAATTGTCAAAATCAGTCCAGCGGTTCTTGAATTATAATATAGATTGTAACTATTTTGCTATATATCCGGCTATCAGCATCACAGTAAAGTGACCTTTCAAAGTATTTGTGATTTCACCTGGATTAAAAATATTCGCGGCTTAGTTAAAATTTTAGAATGTTTTTTCATAAAAGTTATGGTTTATTTTACCCCCAAAATATTATCCGATGAACGTATCTGCATAGCAAAAATCCGGGTTGATTGGTTTATAATTGTGGCCTGTAGAACAGCAGCAAAATCAGATTTTTCTGTTTTTGGTCCATTTGAACCCCTAAATATTTTGCGATCATCTCCAAAAACAATAAGCTTATATTCTGACCGGCCTGAGGATCGGGCCATAACTGCGACCTGTATTGTGATTACAAATTAACATGGACCGACGGGTATAAACATAGTTAACAATGCTAAGTAATTTTAGCCCCTAAGTCACTGCTTAGTTTAATGCGACCAATTAGTACCATTAATGGAACACAATTTCGAGCTCATATTTTTAGTCCACTGTAAAAGTTATTTGCCATGCAGTTCTATAATTGTATATTCACTACTCACGTGTCACTCACAAACCATTTTCTTAAAATGCATTTATCAAGTCTTTACGTATTTATGTCTCTGCCCTGATATTCTGTAAACCACGAACATCCCAATATTATTACTACTGGATCTTTGAAGATGGAATAAACGGTTTCAATTAAGGTGAACAGACTCAACAAGTTTGTTTAAACCTTGCCTTTTGTGTGAAAATTTTCCAAACTACCGCACCGTAAATTTGTATTAAACTCTGGTGTAGAAAATTTACAACAGCACCAACAAAATTGACTTTTTACCAATGCGCAGGGATCATAATAATTAATTTATCTTGAATCTCGTATTGGGCGAGCAGAAACTTAGGTTTGGCAAAACTTTGTATGTCGTAACAGTAATGACCGACCAACTCCAAAAATATATAATCACAAATCTCAGGCAAAGCGAATATCGCATTTTCCTCTAACATACAAATTTTGTAAATTATAAACTAAAGTTCCAGTTTGAAAGTAGTTCGATTTCATTGTATTAATTATATATTAATTCCAGTAGTTCGATTTCATTATATCTATATATATAAAAGAAAGTTGTGTTAGTTACTACGCTTATAACTTAAGAACCGCTGGACTGATTCTAACGATTCATACAAATTCGGAATTGTCTCCTGTCCGAAAAGGATAATATACAAAAAAATCGCGTAAAAATGTGATACATTAACATTTTCATTTTGACTTTTGAAATGTACAATAGTAATGTTTTATTTTGCATGATTTTTTCCATTTTGACTTACTTTTTTCTAATGTACATTTGTAGTGTTTTTTTATATTTTATTTTTGAATTCGAATATTAATACCAATTTATTTAATTGACTTGATTTCTTGAGAACTGAAATTGATGGCGGGTTACATGGAAGTGTAGTACCGAATTATGTGGTGGCGTAACGGAATAGACGATATCGAAATAATTTAACGCGGTCACGCCAAAGTTAAAAGATAAATTATTTTTCAAAATCGCTAAAAAATCAAGAAAAAGAGATCTTATTGCAAAAACTCTCAAATCGGGAACAAATCGAAAAAAAATTTCTATGGAATCGAATTTTAAAATAATAGTACATTCTATTGACAAACTTAAGGAGGATCTTTAAATATTTGCTGTAAAAAATCAGAAAACAAGTTGAAAATTTTTTCAATTTGTTATTCTTCTTTTGTCAATTTTTTTCAATTTGTATTATCATATTGAATTCAGTGGATTTTTTGTGAACAAAATAATGATTTCTATCCTTCCAGAAATTCTTCCCAAATATTCAAGATAACTTAAATCGCTTTTGCAGGTCATGATATCGATCATAACTCACGGATAAGGGTACAAACCGATTTCATATTTATATATCCATCGTATGATTTAAGCTATTTTTGGGGTCATGCCCACTTTTTTCATTTTTGGCCTTATTTGGCAAAATTTGAAATTTCCAGAGTAGGGCCCATATTGGTCTTGACCACATTTATCAATTGATTTGGCTAAAAAATTGTATATACGCTATCCTGGTGTATGGAACCATCATACAGATAATTGTCACCTAGGAATTTATTTAAGTAAAGCCCCCACATTGGAGTATCCCCAAGTCCACTTTCACATCTAATGTGTGTTCAGAAAAGAAAATGTTGTATTCTATTGAATTTGTAACCCCCAAGAGAATATTGGTTGAGAACATAGATTTGGGATGCACATCTATATGAAATAAATTATGAAAACATGGACAAATTACAAATATAAGAAAGTAGCACGGGACAGAATATTTGTTGAATCGTCGTTGAATTATACTATGATAAAAATATGGACTTACAACTTACAATTTACAACCAACTTACAATTTAAATGGCAAATGAAATTAATTCCCATGGGTGTAAAATTGCTATATTTTTGATTTGGTCTCTGTTTGTCATATTGGATTATAAGCGGTAGAAGAAAGTTTTCAATGTAGGTCGATATTTCGGAGTAGTGCCCATGTAAAGGTACCTCCTGATTTTACCATATTTCAAAAGATTTGGCTAAAAATGTATATTTGGGTGGAATCTTACACAAAAATTGCAACATATCTACAAATTTTAGAATTTTCTCCATGTAATAGTACCCCCTCAAGTCCACGGCTTAAATATAGGTATAGGTATTTTAAAACACTTTTAATCGACCAGTACGTGAACAGATATCAGTCATATCTGTGAATAATTATACTTTGACAAATATGCCTAATAGACAAAAACTACAGGCCGGCAACGCGGACCGGGCCAGCTAGTTAATAATATTTTAACATAAACAATTATTATTATACCCTACAACACTATGTGTTGGGGGTATTATAAGTTTGATTGGGCCAAAAATTATGTAACACCACGAAATATTGATTTCCCACATAGGAAAGTATATATGGATCTTCCTATCTCGCCGAGCTGAGTTGATCTAGCTATGTATGTCCGTCCGTCCGTCTGTCCGTCTGTCCATGTTAATTTGTAATCACTCTACAGGTCGCAATTATGGCCCGATCTTCACGAAATTTAGAATGGAGGTGGGGCTAGGGTCAGAATAGAACCCTATTTCTTTTGGAGATGATCGCCAAATGTTTAGGGGTTGAAATGGACCAAATACTGAAAAAATGTCGGATTTTGCAGTAGCTATAC